TCCTCAGAAACCTACCAGTTCCTCAGCGACCCCCCGCCTGATCTCTACCCCAGCGTGGCCGTGGTCGGATTCTCGGGTTTCCTGGGACTGTTCCTGGCCAAAGGTGAGGCCTCTAACTCCCCCTGGAGGCCTGGAGGACTCATGACTAGGGTTGTCACCATACTAAAATGTTCAACTCGATACCGATACTCAGGAAAATACTCGATACTCGATACCATTTTCGATACCACAAGGATAAAAACAAAGACCCCAAAATTTAACTGAATTGTGTCTTTCATTTCAAACTGACCTGTTACTGATGTTATCGTGACTAGTGGCCCACATTAATAACCCTAATTCTGACCCTGACCCTAACCCTAACCCTAACCCTAACCCTCCAGCCTTCATAATTGTGAGAAATAAATATTTTTTGGTTAAACTTGTTTGGACTTATTGTACAAACCTATTTAACATCCACTATTTTAACATAATATCATGGATAGAGTTTAATTCAGTGTTTGCAAGATTCATTTCACTATTTTTAAATTAATGTCTATATTGCCATGAAGCAATTAGGATTTTCTTGCCAAACCTAATCAAAATGTCCGACTTGGATGTGGATATGTACTTGATTAAGGGTAGCATGTTATTATTAGCCATTAGCCGCAGCTAGCAAGGCTAACGTCTTGTTAATGATCATAAACAACGTAAATAAATACATAAATAAATCAGAGAGAAGGGGGTGGTATCGATACTTTTGAAAATGAGTATCGTATCCGGATACAACATTTTAGTATCGATACTTTTTCGACAACCCTACTCATGACTCCACCTGGAGACCTCTAACTCCACCTGGAGCAGCTGGGACTGATCCCTGTTGTGTTCTCCAGGCTCCAGGACCCGGCGGCTGCTGTTCCCGCTGGGACTCATGGCCCTGAGCGCCTCCATGTTCTACCCCCGGCAGGCCGCCGCCGCCCTCACGGTGGGTAGCATAGATAATTCTAATATATCACTATTAATTAACATATATCATGCTAGTATAGCACTACTAATTAGCATAGTTAATGCTAACACATCACTAATAATTAGCATAGTTCATTCTAATATATCATTACTAATTAGCATAGTTCCTGCTAATATATCACTAAAAATTAGCATAGCTCATGTTAATATATCACTACTAATTAGTATAGTTCATGCTAATATATCACTACAATTAGCATAGTTAATGCCTTCCAGTCTTTGATGCATACTGTAACATTTGTTTGTTTGTTGTGTGTCACGTTATTAGCTAACGCTAGCTACAACATAGGCTAGTAGCGGCAAACAAACAAGCTAACGTGGCAACGTAATTCGCTATCTTGTTGGAGGAGTAATTGCATGGTAACACTAGCTTGTCATTTCTTCTAAATTCCAAACCTCATCACCAGAGAAAACTCCATGATGTGGAGTTAATTGTTTTATCATTTTTCTTTTATTATAATTGTTTTTTTTATTTTTTATTTGTTGTTGATTATTAAGCACTTTATTACTCCACCTGGAGTAATAAATGGTAATTATGATTTTCCTTCCTGTCTTATTAACTGAATGAATGTGTATTGGTCTGTCAGATCCAGACTGGCTTTGGGTGGGTCCTGGTCTTAAACTTGTCCTGGTCTTAAACTGGTTCTGGTCTTAAACTGGTCCTGGTCTTAAACTGGTTCTGGTCATAAACTGGTCCTGGTCTTAAACTGGTCTTAAACTGGTTCTGGCCTTAAACTGGTCCTGGCCTTAAAGGGGAAGTTTCTGGGTGAGCTGGAACTTTCCGTAGCTCTGAGGTGGAAACACTGAGCTGATAGATGAAAGCGGGAATGTTTCACACCTCGTAAAGCCGGTTATTCGGCCCCCGGGGACGGAAACTTTCCACCGCCGGTTATCAGTTTGTGTGTTTCTGATCTGAGCTGTTTTCCCTTTAGGAAAGGGTTGTGTTTCCCTCCAGGAAGCCGAGGCTGTGAATGACCCCCCCACACCTCCCACCTCAGAAAGATCTGGAATGATCCACTTTTTGCTCGTTTACAACTACTGTTTCAATTAAAAATGGGAGAAAAACTATATAAGATATTTTATTTAAGCTAATTTGCTAATTTCCAACTACTTGTTCTGGTAAAAATGGGAGAAAAACTACAGTGGGGGAAATAAGTATTTGAGCCCTTGCTGATTTTGCAGGTTTGCCCACTTACAAAGAATGCTTCTTTTTCCTCATCAGATTATCAATTTTTATAAATTCATATGATGTGATTTTCTGGAATTTTCTTTGGGATTCTGTCTTTCACTGTTAGAATGTACATATGATTAAAGTTATAGATCGTTGCATTCTTTGTAAGTGGGCAAACCTGCAAAATCAGCAAGGGGTCAAATACTTATTTCCCCCACTGTATCTAAAATATTTTATTTAAGTTAATTTATTCATTTCCAACTACTTGTTCTGATAAAAATGGGAAGAAAACCATCTAAAATATTTTATTGAAGCTAATTTGCTCATTTCCAACCACTTTTTCTCATAAAAATGTGAGAAAAACTATCTAAAATATTTTATTTAAGGTAATTTGTTCAATTAAAACTACTTGTTCTGAAAAAATGGGAGGAAAATTCTCAGAAATATTTTATTTAAGCTAATTTGCCCATTTCCAACTAATCGTTCTGATAAAAATGGGAGGAAAAGTATCAAAAATATTTTATTTGAGTTAATTTGCTCATTTCCAACTACTTGTTCTGATAGAAATAGGGGAAATAAATGTCTAAAATATTTTATTTAAGCTAATTTGATCATTTCCAATTACTTGTTTTGATAAAAATGGGATAAAAACCATCTAAAATATTTTATTTAAGCTAATTTGCTCGTTTCCAACTTCTTGTTCTGATAAAAATGGGATAAAAACCATCTCAAATATTTCTCTCCAGGTGAGCCGGGAGGCGGCGCTCACCTGGGCGGGTCAGGGCCGCGTTGCCATGGAAACGCTGTGGAAAGACCCCCCCTTCAG